CACTTTCCAAGGCACTCAGAGACCGAAATCACAGTATGCACACAAATTTTGAATCTACCCTCTTTGACCAGCTCATTACATAGGCATGCATGCAGCACTCATTCCAGAGGAGATCAGCTTTTCATACTGTGACGCAGTAAACAAGCTAAAATGAAAATGAACAATTCTGATGTATTTGATGTTCAATATGTACTCTTTACCCTGCAGCAGTCACACAGGGTTTTGACACAGATTTTTAAATGAGCCAATTACCATGTGTTGTTGTTCTAAAATCTTCTCTGTTGTTCTGATGCTTTTCTTTTCTTTTTACAGATTTTGGAGTGAGTGCATTTCTAGCTACAGGGGGTGACATGACTAGAAACAAAGTTCGAAAGACCTTTGTTGGCACACCATGCTGGATGGCACCAGAGGTGATGGAACAGGTGAGTCTGTTTCTGTCGAGGCAAGATCGAGGCAAGAGCTGATGAAAACTTTTATGTTATGTACTGGAAAAAAATGCAGCTGGTCTGTTTTGGGTTTTTGTATTCTAGTCTTTTATTAACTGTTTTCTGTTTGGTTTCACTATCCTTGGTTTTTGATTATAGGTTTAGGGTTTGATTCCATATTTTTCATCCCTTTACCTTGTCCAATATTTTCTGTTATTTTTGAGCTCTTGATGTTTTGTCCCAGAGTGGATTTTCTTTAAACTTAGCTTTGTTAGTTTGGGTTGGTTGTTATCTTCCCTCAATGTTGTTGTGTTCTGTGCCTTCCTTTATATCTTCAAGTCTGTGTTGCCCTATGTTAGTTCTTTCATGTATCAGCATTTCTTTGTTTTAGCTGGTGTTATGCTTCAGTTCCTGTTTTACTTTTTTAGTTGTCCCTTATGTTTTGTCTTGTTTTACTTCCTCCCCAGTTTCATTGCCTTGATTGTCTACATCTGTGTCTAGTTTGCTCCAGTTGTTGTTCACTTCCCTAAACACCCCATGTGCATCAATAGACAATTGTTTTCTTTTTGTTTTACATATTTATTTATTGGTTATAACAAGTTTTACATAATACGCTGTGATAAAATAAGAGAATAAGAGATAAAATAATGACAAAAGACATAATGATTGAAACCAAAATAAAGAAAATCATAATGGGGGGGTCAGACAGACATATCAAATTAGCACAAATTACATTTGTCAATATAGCTAAACATCATGGGAGGATGATTATGGAAAAGCTGACTTATTATAAAGAGTGTTCTTGTGTGCTTACACCTGTCCTCATAGCTCACTGGGTTAAGCAGGTGACCCATATGGCAATAGACCAGCGGTCCCCAACCTTTTTTGTGCTATGGACCGGTTTAATGACTGACAATATTTTCACAGACCGGCCATTAAGGTCTTGGATTAATACAACAAAAAAAATGATACAACCAAGACAAAAACTGTGGTATTTTGTAAATAATTGACACGAATTCACAGTGTAATTGTGTAACTTTATTTATTAGCAGCGTCTTCTTGAAACACATCCTCCTGCCCCTTAATGCTCTCTGATCGTTATGGCAATGCGTAAATATTTCTTTCAAAATAAGACACACAAGTACAACACGGGAAAAGACCCAGGGGAACAGACTTAATGATAAAAACCCTGAAAACCATAAATTTTACACCCGAGCCTCAACTCTTGCGGCCGGTAACAAACGCGGCCCGGTCAAGTTCTAGAATTTTGTCCATATGGCCCAAAACATATCCAGTTTGTTTCTTAATACATAAGTTATTTTCTCCAGAGTTAGTATAGATGTCAGTCCATTAAGCCGCTGAGAAAGTCCTCATAGTACAGTATTTTCATGTTCTCTTTTGGGTTGTGTTGCGTTGCTTTCTGGGCTTTTTATTTGGTTCTTGTATTTTGCTTTTAGATCTTTTTTCATCAGACTGCTCACTTTTGATTCATTCAGTCTGCCTTTGTTTCCTCCCTTCAATACTCCACAAACATAAAAGCAGCAGCTAGGCTGCTAACAAGCACTTGCACATCAACCCTGTGCTTGCTTCCCTTCACTGATCATTCATCCATCTTCTTCTGGTTATCCAATTCAGGGTTGCTGGGGGGCTGGAGCCTATTCTAGCTGTAATAGGGTGAGAGGCAGAGTATACTCTTGACAGGTCGCCAGTCTGTCATAGGGGCAACACAGAGAGGCAGACAACCGTTCACTCTCACACTCACACCTACAGCCAATTTAGAATCACCAATTAGCATGTCTTTGGATTGTGGGTGTAGCCAGAAAGAACCCACATAGACACAGGGAAAATGTGCAAAGTTCACACAGAACCCAGGAGCTTCTTGCTGTGAGGTGACAGTACTAACCACTGTACCACCATGCTAGCTCTTCGCTGGCTTCCAGTGAAATTCAGATTCAATTTATTAATCACTTACAAGGCCATACATGGTCAGGGTCGTGCACATATCACAGACCTGCTGAGACCTTGTTTTTTATTAAGGCCTATTAACTGTTATTTTAAATCCAGCTTTTAAGGTTGGAACACATACACTTTGAAACAGCCTTGCAGGTCAGCTGATTAAGTGTTTTTTTTTTTCAACTTCTACTGAAAACCTTTTTTTTAGCCTTTATTATGATTATGATATTAGACTGGAAGGTGAGGGAAGATGAGCAGTAAATGGCCTAGGACAGATTCAGACCTAGCCTTCTGCAATAGTCTATTGCAGTGGTCTTTTCCCGTGTTGTACTTGTGTGTCTTATTTTGAAAGCAATATTTACGCGTTGCCATAACGATCAGAGAGCATTAAGGGGCAGGAGGACGTGTTTCAAGAGGACGCTGCTAATAAAGTTACACAATTACACTTTGAATGCGTGTCGATTATTTACAAAATACCACAGTATATGTCTTGGTTGTATCATTTTTTTTGTTGTTGTATTTATCCGAGACCTTAATGGCCGGTCTGTGAAAATATTGTCGGGCATTGAACCGGTCCATAGCACAAAAAAGGTTGGGGACCGCTGGTCTATTGCCATATGGGTCACCTGCTTAACCCAGTGAGCTATAAGGACAGGTGTAAGCACATAAGAACACTCTTTATAATAAGTCAGCTTTTCCATAATCATCCTCCCATGATTTTTAGCTATATTGACAAATGTAAGGACCTTAGTGTGAATGTGTTGTTTTTTGTACTGTATGTTGGGATATTTACACTTAAATATAAATGTGTGTCTTCATCCAGACTGTTAAAACACATAAAAACTGCTATACAAAAAAGTTATTATTATTATTATTATTATTATTATGTAAAATGTATTTGCCTGATCTTGTCTCTGCTTAATGCTAGCCCTTTTTGTAATGGAATGCTGTTATTTTTGACATGACAACCAATAGCAGCATTGCCTTAACATGAAGCCTTAAGCATTACTTTGGTATTACACGGTACTGTAATTCTGTGTCTGCAGGTTCGGGGCTATGATTTTAAAGCAGATATATGGAGTTTTGGAATTACAGCGATTGAATTGGCGACAGGCTCTGCCCCCTATCACCGCTACCCTCCCATGAAAGTATGTGTTCATTCAGTGTTATTTAATCAGTCTTGTAACATATACTGGTGCTGGCAAAGAAAAAAGAAAAGGAAACTGGCCACAAACCTTGATAAACCTTCTCCTAAATAAACGTCTTTGAGGTTTTCTTAGTAATGATGAATTTTATGTGGAAAGAGAGCAGTTTGGCTTGCTGCTCTTTCTGTAATTGGGAAACCTAAGAGCTAATAAACAGGCAGCGTTTCATCTAAGAGATACTCATCTTTATGTTCCACAACATTTCCCACAGTTTCCTGCTCTTAGTTTCTTTTCCTCATCTACAGATTTTGTACTGGTGGTGAAATGTGTTGGCAGTTATGACCACTTCTGTTGTCTTTTCAGGTTTTAATGCTTACCCTTCAGAATGATCCACCCTCTCTAGAGACAGGTGTTGAGGACAAGGAAACTTTAAAAAAATATGGCAAATCATTTAGAAAGCTAATATCTATGTGCCTTCAGAAGGATCCTGTCAAAAGGTTAGCAACATGTTTATGTATCAGGCAAATATATCAATGGAGAGAGCTGATGCAATTATTGGTCAGTGAAATGACCCAATCGTGACTAACATTCAGTAACTGTAATGATGCTTTCTTTTTTCTTTGTTTGTTGTATCTCTAGGCCTACAGCCGCAGAGCTTTTGAAGTGCAAATTCTTCCAAAAGGCCAAGGTATTTGTCTCATCTCACTATCTTTTGTTATTATTGCTGTCCGTTTGGATTTATGCCAGCGACGAGTCAGATATACACGCAGTGAATGCTTTTTTATGCGTTTTTGATGTTTATACTTACTTGGATGAATCAGCAATGACATAAAACATAACCTAGCTACTATTATTTAATATATATGAGAAATAGTAGTATTATTGCTATTATATAAATTATTATTAATATTATTATTATTCAGAATTGAGTACATTTTTGGGCAAGTTTAAATGTTGCTCTCTTATAATAAGCACTGTGTATTCCTGAATTTTTTTTACTATAATAGTGATTAGTTAAGTAGTTAAATGGTGAATAGCCAAAATCTTTATAACAAAGTTATAAGATTACAAAATCCTTTTTTTCCAAGTAGATTATCATTTAGAAAAATAGTCTTTTTAAGGTCATTTTAATTTTGTGAAAAGTACTGCAGCCTCATCTTGCTGTTTCTGCATAGCCAGTAACCAATTTATACCAGGGACTTAATAAATCCATTTATAGTACTGTGCAAAAGTCTCTAGCCACCCCTCCATTTTTTATGTTTTGCTTTCACAGAGCCAGACCTTCGAATATGTTTTAAACTTGAGCGATAGTTCTCCAGCTCTCTGAAGGTCTTTCTTTCTTTAGACATGGCGGGTTTTTTCACTAATCTTTGGTCCAGTTTTTTACCTGACCATTTTCAGATGATTTTCAGATGATTTTCTTTTGTTAAGCCACTTAACACTTAAACACAGTGGAGGCTCTTATCGTGCGTTCAGCCAGTGGTGTTGAGGATCTTATCGAAAATGGTTGAACTGTATATGTAGGAAAGTATCGTAAGATTTGTATCCACCATGCCTTGCCATCTGGAAAGTGTCCATTTGACAAAAGCTTTTTTTTTTCAGAACGACAATAGTCCCAAACACACTGCCAAAGCAGTAAAAGCATAACTGAATAGAAAAACACACAATGAAACCTTGTCAGTCATGGATCCAAGGAAAAGCTTTAAATGTCCTTCAGCAATGTCCTTCTGTTTTTGCCTTATATACAGTATTTTCTTGCATGTTTGCGAATGTTTCAATAAATCACTGCACTTATTTCTCATTTTCCTTGCAAAATATAAAGAAATAAAAGGTGTGTCAAGACTTTTGCTCAATACTGTACTTCTCACGTGTCGTCCAGCCTTTGGATTTCCATCCGTCTAACTTAGTTATATTTTGACCATTTTTTTTCACAGAACAAAGAATATCTGGTGGAGAAGCTTTTGAGTCATGCACCAAAGATTTCTCAGAGAGCGAAGAAGGTATGTTTGGGTAAACATTCTAATAAATAACTCAGCTATTGACTCAACATGAGCGAATTATGGCAGCAAGGAGGAACTGACTGAAGTGTCTGTCTCCAGCAGAGTGCTGCATTTCCAGTCAACACATGCGATGCTCTGCGACTTTCTTCAGCACCTCAAACACTTTACACCCTGTTGTGTAGATTATGTAAAAATATGGGCAACTGCCACGTAACAGTCAGACGGTACAGCTGTGTGTCAGTGGTTTCATGTGAAGCTCTTTGCATGTGTCACGCCGGAGACAAACAGGGTGAAATTAATTGTTGTGGTTAGGTAACAGAAAGGAGCAGATTATTGCTCAGTTCGCTTGCTCTGTTTCCCACTGGTCACAGTTTACTGAGAGGAAGTGCAGCTTTTGGACACAGCTGATATTGACTCCACATAACATTACGCCTGGATGGCCAGGACAGAAGTGGGAACACGGGCCAATTGCCAGAAGGCAGAGTGCAAGTGAGCGTAGAGGTGGAAATTCACTGACATGGTAAAGGAAGGACATTGTAGATAACATGGTCATTTCTGTGTATGACGTGGTATTTACGCACAAACATAGCTTGGCATCAATAGAAAGGGATATGACTATGGTGGGTGGTATGTGGAAGTCATAACAAAGAATGCTAAATGGATATAAACAAGTGCTGCAGTATATCAGAGTTTGACAGTTAAGTTTATTACAGCCATCACCTTCTAATTTAGGCTGTATTTATGGTCACTGATACACAAATTATGCAAGGTTTGGAATTGGAGCCACATTACTTTGAACTTGCACAGCAATATTTGTGCCAGTGTGAAATGGTATCACTTTCGGAGAGTATAAAATAGATTCTGTGGAGCCTTTTAATCACAAAGCGGTGATGCACAACAACTGTGTAGTGCAATGAATGCATTTTTTACATGTGTATTCCTCTTAAAAGTACAAAACAGACAGCATGCAGGGTTTACAGGTAGTGTCTGATACACTTGATAGCTTTGCTTTGGGAAATGTGTGGGCTGCAGAGCCAGTGTCCTTGTTGCTTTGTCCCGATTTGACCTGCAGAGTCATCTACATTATAAACTCAGCAACATTACCCAAAGCTTGCAGACACAAGCAGTATTATAGAAACACTGTCATTGCAGGATGTTGCGACCTTGTGGCCCTGGTTTTGTTAGATCTTATCTCAAGACTCTCAAATCGTCTAGATCGTGTTCTCAGTGCACCTCTCTTTGATCTGTATTTTTCCCTTCTCTTCACGCCTTAGTAACCAGTTGCTCTTTTTCTAATGTTTTTCTCCTATGTGGTATTTTACTGTCAGCAAATGTGGGATTCTTCTCTGATGAAACAAGTCGACCTAAAGCCACACAGCTACTCTTTGACTCTTAAAAGAAACCTGGCTTCTCCATTAACCTGCTCCAGTGAATGAAAAGGAGATGGCAGATTCTGTCACCAGCAAAGTAATTTAAGATGATAATGGAGCTAGAACATTACTCCTTTATCTAACAAATGGAACTAGGATTCAGAAATGACTTGCGGAAATGAGAAATAGGAGAAACTGACTCTTACAGAACATACAAACAGGCATTTGCGAGGGATTTTGCTTTATTTTAAATAGAAATGTTATACAGGATCATAGCCAGCCATTTAAAATGAAGGTGTTTGTGGGTCCAAAAAACAGCAGAGGGCACCCTTACACCCAGTATTGAGTGTCTAAAAGAGAAACTAGCAGGCTTTATATTAGTTTAAAGGCCAGATAAAACTAATGTGTGCTTGAATCATTGATTTGTTGCATAACAAAAAGTAACATGTGATAAGATTGGGATTGATATCAAGTTCAGATGTATGGTCTGGTGCACAAATGATGATGCAGTACTGATTGACTTCTGCTTGAATGCTTTCTGCAGCCTGATTTCTAAAAGAGCAAAACAAAACAAAACACAGCTTTGTACCAGAGTGTGTCGCAGTGTCTGAAAACGCCGTTATGAGCGACCGCCAGCATTTTTAGATTCTGAACATACAATGTTTCTGTTCAATTTTATTTTTAGCCTACATTTTTGGTTCATTTCTCAGTATTCTTCTTTCTGTGAGTGAATGTCAGCTGGGTTTCATGTATGGCTGCCCAGTGCATTGATCTGTGTCTGTTTTGCTCAAGGACCCTGAGCAGAACTGGGGGAGTCTTGGTTCTGTGTCAGGTTTGGAAAATAAACCTGACACCACCACAAGGGTAGTGCTTCTTTAACTTTGACCCCATCTAGAGCTGGGGAATTTTTATGACTCTGCTGCCAGTGGCTTACAGTTTTGTGTGCTCCCTTCTGTAACACTGTGGTGCCCTTGTGTCTCATCTCGCATGTTGCTTCTCTTACATGCTTTAACTGTAGAAATGCAACAAATTATAGGCTTTATGTATTTAGGCTTTGATTTGCCATACTTACTGTTTTTGTCTTGTTATACTTCATACATTTTCAGTTGTATAACTACTTAACTATAACTACTATAACTACCATAGTTAAGTCATTTATTTTTTCTCTTGTATTTATTGTGCTATGCCAAATTATACCTACTGAAATGGTATAAGCAACTGGTGAAAACAGATAATCTAGTTCTTTCTTTCTAGTTCAGTGTAGGTTTAGTCAATATATATATTTAGTTTTTAGTCACATTTATCAGATGGTATAATACAGCACGTGTATGAAGGCTGCTGACTCACAGTCATGACAAGCCGGTCTCCAGAAACATATGCAACAGTGCTTCCTTGTGTTTGTGTTGACAAATGTAAGACTAAAAATAAAGATATTTTCTGTAAATTTTAATTTCGTTTTGTAAGTACACTAAATTGTTTAAGTTTGTTTTTATTTTTTATCTCAGTTAACTAAATGGGTTTTGCATCAATTTGGAAACATGAGTTTATTTGTGACTATAGATGTTATATACTAGTCAAAAAAAGAAATGCAAGATTATGTTTGAACTATATTACCATATGCATAAACAAGACATTTAGTATGAGTTTTTGGGCCTCCTCTGGGCGTGATGGAAGCATTCACTTGTCTGCACATGGTCTGTACAAGTGTCTGGCTCTGTTGTTGAAGAATTGCTCTCCAGTCCTGGATGAGTGCATACTGCAGCTGTGCAGTGGTCATTGATTGTGGCTGCCTCTGATGAACATGCCCACCCAGCAAGTTCCAGGCATTTTTAGTAGGAGACATATCAGGAATAAATGCTGGCCAAGGAAGTAGCTGGATGTGCTCCTGATCCAGAAAAGCTCGAGCTACTCTGGCAGTGTGGGGGGTAGGCACTGTCTTGCTGAAACAACTGCAGGGTGGGGTGCTGCTGCAAGAATGGCACAAGTACAAGTTGGAGGACCGCATTTTGGTACCTCTGTTCAGTTCTGCCAAGAACAGTCACATCAGAGACAATGCTCTCGTGGACACCGTGGAAGTGTGCAGCAGCTCAGACACACATGCCAGTATCCAACTTGCCAATAGCCCAGACTCGGTCAGATTCAGTCAGTCGTGGCATGAAGGCACTGATAACAATGTTGCACATACACTGTTTTGTGTGCTTTAAGACCACTGGCTTGAAAATGCTGTAAACTGAAGCAATTCTGCTGTGTGCAAGTTGATTTGTCTTCCATAAACAATTTAAAAATCATGCAGTTGACTAAAACCAATCGGGCAGCATATGTTTGGGTTTCAAAATGACGATGTAATGCAAAGATTGAAAACTTTTTCGCAGCAGTTGTATTTCTTTTTTTTGACTAGTATCTTTTCTAATATCTAAATCACAGGAAAAAAGGATGTTTGATTTTGTGAAGTTTGTCCTAACAAGAAAAACTTCTAAACTTTAAACTCCTTTTTTGGTTACATAATAAAGATCTTTTCAGAACCAAGCAGTACCTTTGCCACTGCAGTACCAAACATACTTAACAGACTAAATGATTTGAATGTGGCTTTGTACGTTCACCTTTCATGTCACAAATGCGCAGCCACGTTATGTAAATCACTGAGGTCAGTGCTCTTATTTAAAGGTCTGTAAAAGCTAATGGACTCGTGGGTAAAGCACAATGTACAGACACATGAAGTCAAAGGAGCACAAATAATTTAATTAACATCGTGTGCTGGATGTCGTAATGCTGCAGGTCAGGAGAGTCCCCGGCTCCAGTGGCCACTTGCACAAAACAGAGGATGGAGACTGGGAGTGGAGTGACGACGAAATGGACGAGCGCAGCGAGGAAGGCAGAGCAGCGGTAAATCAGGGCAGGGTAGGTGAGACTCCACAGAGGGAGGCATTAATCAATGTGTTTACTCTTTTATGATCATCATCAGTAAAAATCATCATCAAGAGAGCCAAGATATTTTCTCGGGTCAGTCTGAAACTGTAACAGAACTATAACTTCTGCACATAAATTCCGAATATGAGTTATTACGGTGTTGCATGTCATGTCCAACCCGCAGATCAAACCATTATGCAACTTTCCCTTCTGTCTTAGACACTGTGCATTCCGCCCCTTCCTGATTGCTTAGTTTTTTTGGATAGCAGATGGCTTATCTCTGAGAGAGCCTGTCATGAGGTCGCTGTAATGAGCTGGAAGATAGCTGTAAGGATTTGAGGCAGGAGGAACTAGACAACTATGATCAAAGAGCCCTTTGATAAAGACTCCCAGCTTTAATGTATGATGCAATAAATAATACTCTACCGGCAGTAATGATTTACGAAAAGGGTTGTTTTTAAGGTATATATATTCTTCTTTTCAACACGGATGTGCTTTGGTTTGTTTTTTGCAAACTTCGGGCTGCTTTTCAGTGTAAAAAGAAAGGTGTAGGCATATGTGGATGGATTGATATATACACATACAGTCTGTGAGCAGTGTATGGCTTATATAAATTTTTTGCTCTTTGACAAACTAAAACAGAACATATAAGATGATTATTACCGTGTGTCTGACAGTAAATATATGAAAATGTTTTTTTTCCCCCCTCCAGTCACGAAGGGTCAAAGATGACGCCAAAGATGTAAGTTAGATATTCCTCTCCTACACCAATTTGAACTTGCAAAATATCTTAGAATATCTAAAAAGACAAGTTGTCATAGACAAACCGGCCATATCCTTCTGCTGCTTTACAATTCGATAAGTTGCCAAAGGGGTATTTTTATTTTTAAATTCACTTGACTGTCCTACTTGAGCTGCTGCTTGTGTAAGAATCATGAACTCACTTAATTAATGTTTATTTCTCTGCTTGCATTTTTATGCAGTTTCATTAAAAAATGCCACGAATTTGATTTAACCTGTCTCATGAAGAGAGCAAAATGCTCCTCATTGATTGGTTTGAATTGACTTTCCTCTGTTGTCTTTATACGATGAGCTCTGATTTGATATTTACCAAGGATGTAATAGCATTTGCACAATTATGCCTCACATTTTGTTCCTCCTAGAATGAGGAGGATGCCAACAATGTCCCTATTGAAGGCTTGTCTATTCAGCATCCCCAGGTGAGGGATTCGGCAGCAGCACCAATTTGTCATGATTCAATGACCTTGATTCCACTGTGATTGTGTGTGTTTGTGTTCATTTCTGCGCGTGCACACTTAGAGCGTGTCTGTCTGTGGACGTGTCAGTGGGCGTATATATATGTGTGTGTGTGTGTGTGTGTGTGTGTGTGTGTGCTTGCGTACATGGAGACGGTCGGTCTCCTGGAGGGATGCTCTCAGCAGTAATAACTCAGAGTAAATGGCTGTCTGCCTGACAGTGCTAGCTCAGTGACTGGGTGTATCTCATCTGAAAACTCGCTGCCATTGTATCCCATTTTCTTTGGCTTTTGTCAGTCTGAAAATGAGCCAAAGCAGTTTGAGGTGTAGTCTTGTGTCCCAGTCAGGAATTAACTCTGACAGCTTCTTAGCAGTCATTTCCTTTCCATAATATCTCATCCTTGCCATATAAAAAGCCCATTCGTAATACGGTTTTGATGACAGTGATAGACCCTTACACAGTAAACCTTCATGTCTTGTTCCTTTTCTTCTCCCTTAAGACTTTCCCTGCTGCTGCAATGAATTTAAGACATTTTCCAGTAAAAAAAAAAAAGAACTCACATAGTGTGTGCACACATTTCTTGTTTATGTTCATCTTGAAGTTTGCAGAATTTCATGCTCTCTCGTGCATGCTTTATGTGACTCTTACTCCTCTTTTTCACAGTGAATGCTTTTGCCAGTCTGATGTTTAATCTGCTTCATCACCAGATATTTTCTCATGCAGGTTGAACCGTATGAGAATACACCCTTCATTCAAGGTGCTGTGAACATGGTACTACGGCTAAGGTGAGACTGAGAGACACACACATACACACATGAAAAAATCGTCAGTGAGATCTATTTTTCTAAAAGCAGTAAAAGCAAAGAAATGTGCAAGTTTGTTATCTCTGAGTTTAAACAATGCAGGCTTCTAATAGACCTAATGATCTTTGGCTGCCACAGAAGGGATTTGGCATCACCGCTGATCCCCTTATCTCATGTTGTCTTACCGCTGTAGTCAGAGGGAGGGGTGTTACACATCATTGCCTCTCGCGGTGCTCCACAATCTGCTTTCCTCCTTCCCCCCTGCGCTTATAGCACCTCACTCTTTTCGCTGCATTATTCAAGACATTGCTGTTTATGGAAATATTCCCGTGACTTAGGGCAGGCTTGCGATTTGGTCACATAATTTTGGCAGCAGGTGGGAGCTCAATTACCTGTGTGGTGTACGGAAATGCATTTTCTATATCTTGGTCTGTATTACTCTGAATGAAACAAACAGAGAAAAGAAGTAGAGAGAATGGATGCCGAATCGGACGGACCAATATGCATTTTTGGACAGCTGAAAGTCTCCCTCTAGCTCCCCGATGAGCCCGGTGCTGAGCACACTCTTGCTTGAATAGGCACCTGAAGGTCTCTCCCCAGGTGTCAATTTTATTCTGTGCTTACCAAGAAAACAATATCTTGCATGCAACAGGTGACGGCTACCTGTTCATTGGTGAAAATTCACTATTCTAACCTGGTGGTGAAAACGTGCAGAGATTTGATGGTTTTGGCTTTTTCTGCTCTTCCATTTCACAGCTTTAAACATGAATTTAGCTTTAAATCAACTTTAAGAAAGTTACATGTGTTTTTAGTAGTACGCCATTTTTCCTCAGCCAGCAAATGACATTGTGTCCACAGAGAAGAGCATTCACTGCGCTTGGTATCATTGTCTTTTTAGGTGAATTTGTGTAGTAGAGATATAGATGTGATACCTAAAATGTAAATCCACATGTTTGATATCATTTGTCAGAAAAAGGTACTGAAAAGCTCCCTCTTCTTTCAGGTACTCGTATATTATAATATTTCTGTGTCTTTATCTACATTTAAGGTTTAAAATGTTGTGTTTTGATCATTTCTGATGTTTCAGACAGCAGATGTAACAGTGGAATACCAGAATTTGTCATTTCTAGATATTTAATGTCCTACTGAACGTGCATTTTCTGATTTCAATTGCAAGCAATTTGGTGCTGGCTGAGAAAATGTTTCTTTAGGAGTTATTTGACTTTTTCATTGTTAAGAAGCTTTTGGCTGGTATGTTTTAAAGTGAATCAGTGGGGCTTTATAGGATGAAAGACTGCATATTTTGGGATTTTCTTTGGCTGTGCTCCTGAGTTGTGGGGGCAGAAAGATATATTTCTGGCTTTCGCAAATAGGAAGAGGCTGCATAAGAAGCAGTGGATTTAAGAGGGCCGATTAAATAAAGGCTTTAGCTGGAATTTGTCACAATATTTAATGTTTGTTTTTTTACTATGTTTTTAAAAGTTGAATTTAAAACCTGAACTGAATTATTACTGAGGTTTCACTAGCAATGAACAACTCAGATTTACTAATGAATTGAGTAGTTCCAACTCTGACTAAAAATCAGTAAAACTAATTATGAATAAAGGTTCTTGACCTGACGTTAATGTCATTTATGAGCTGCCACTGTGTAGCAAATGCATCTTTTAAAAATTGTTGTCTATAATGAGTAATTAGACAATTTCATCTTTGTTCTTTTTGTCATTTTGGGAGCCTAAATCATATTGAATGTTGTTACTTGTGCATTATTTTACGAAGTCTTTGAGAAGCTACATAAAAAACCCCTCATCAATTAGGAGAAGTTTAAAGGTTTTCAGATGGTGAATACATCAAAGTAATTGCATTGCAAAGACAAAAATAAACATTTAATTGGTCTCCCTTCTCAGCTAATTAGCATGAGTTCATGGTAATAGGATCCCCTCAGTAGCAGAGGTGTAGGAACAGAAGCGCTGTGATTGGTTCACTCTTTCTGGGTTTTCTTTTTTCTTTTTTTGCAGTGTCATTGAGAACTCCTGAGAATAGCAATGTCAGCAGTTTAAAGGGGAAACGCTTTTGGTGCAATGTCACTGGAGCTTAAAAAGCCAAAATAGAACAGATGCAAATTGATTTAGCCAAGAGGTGACATTTCCTTGTGTTTTCTTAAGACTCTTGTTTATAAAAGGTAGCTAGAAGTTGACAAATGTCACCTTAGCTTCTGAAATATCATCTTGATATTAAATTTCAGAGAAACATAAATGTAGTGTGTGTGCTTCTGTCAGACTAAGCCTGGAGATATGGGTTTATTGCTTGCGAGCTTCTTGACAGTTGTTTGTGAAGCAAATAAACCTTTCTGTCTCGCTAACATTTGGAAGATTTATCCACCTCACCATCTGCACAGGCAAGCTGCTAGTAGTGGAACTCACTGGCACATTAATAAGGCCATGATTTCTCACCAGTTCTGGTTAATTATATGTTTTTGTGTTTTAGATGTTGTTGAGACAAAATATGAAGCGGTTACTCTGGATTCACATTTTTACTTTTCTTTTTACTTATAAATGACAGACTCATTAATAACAAAATGAGCTGTTAATAGCCAAGTTCACAATTAATTTCCTGAAGAGTTTCTCATAAGAAACTTTGCAATTTGGTATAAAGAAAAATTTCCTTGATAGACTGACTACTATTTATAGTTAATTAAAGTCTTTCTCCTGCCATCACCAGCCAATAAAAACAATCTCTTTTAATCAAAATTACACATTTTAACCCTTTTTTGACATGAAAGAAATCCTTTCATTCCTCAAAATTGATTTTATTAGGCAGTAGAGCAGGATTTTATTAGTTCCTGCTTTACTGCAGCATTTCTCTGTACTTGTCAACGCAGGAAACATTATTTTTACTGCAAGTGCCCTGTGTTTGTCAGGGTGAAACAGATGCAGGATTTATGGTACTGCATTTATGTCCATTTGTGAAGGTGTTTTCCTGCATAAAGGTTTATGCAGCCTATGCAAATGAACTTGTTTTCAGTCCTTCAAAAAACCAACAGCGCGTAGCTTGATGTGGATGACACTGTGCACAGGACGAATGTTGATTTGTTGGAAATTGGGCTACAACAGTTGAGTTCACCGGGAATAGGAGAACTGCAAAAAAAATATCTTTCCTTTCCCAAAGGGTCGCTGCAGCTCATAGATTTGTACATGTGATTTGGCACAGTTGCAAGGCTGTGTTTGTGTCTCAAACCCGTGGAGTCAAATTTGTCTCAATAGGTTCACAAATGTGTATGATAAGATCCACAAGCATAAACTAAGATTTACAAATGTGTACAACTGTCTGTGGATAATTTTGAGTACTTACAAATGCATGCTTCAGTCCACACATGTACACAGTAAATAGAAGACATGTAGATATATTTTTAAAAATACATCAAAAATTAAATAAATAATCATAATTTACACAAAGCCTCTTAAATTCAGTTTCTCAAATCTGATCATTTTCACTCTTCTACAAGTATCTAAAAATATTTGTGATATTTCACTTACAGATGGTTAAATATGCACGTATCACCTGACAGTCGCATATCATCAAGTGCACGTGTCGCTTCTAATGCTGATAGCTTGACATAGAATCACAAATTCACAAAAAGATACACGAAGCTATATTTAATTGCAAGTGGAAAACTGGGACACCTGAGCATCCTTTGTGTTTCTGTGTTCTGATATTTTTTTCTAAATGCACTGAATAGCTCATGGATTGCATGCAGATTTGTAACCCTTTTGAGATTAATTTAACTTAAACAAATGTTTCATGTGCAAGGCAGTGCACCATTGACCTAATAACTTCAGCATGAAGAGCACAGAAAGTGTCTGTAATGGAAACTAGAATTGTTTCTAACACTAGTTTTGCTTCAGCTCTTTGCAAGAACTTTGTTTTTGTTTTTTTTCCATGAATAGCTAAAGGACCAACAACAGCACAAACAAGAGTAGCCTGCAGAGCCGTTATTTGTGACATTGCCCCTGGTTATAGCTAACACCTACAATATGTAGATGATGGTCTGCATAACTATACATACAGGCAAATATGGACACAAATGCATTGGATTGGAGCTAAGACAAGGAAATAGCATAGAGAAACCAGTCAATGTTCAACATAAATGCTCCTGGTTTGAAATAGAGCCAAGGATGGAACAAAACAGTGTCAGAGCTGGAACATTAAAGGCATACTCTGTGTATTTTAGGGGTCATAGCTTCAACTTGACTAATCTAACACACATTATGAAATCATAATTTACTAATGATAGATAAATCTGGTTACCAATTTCACAAGTTAGCCACATCTTGTTTAGTCAAGAAAATTGGTTTGTTGGGTTTGTTACATATGGAACCGCAGTTCTGTGAATCAGTGTTTCTAAAGCGTTCACTCGTTTTCATTGAAAAGTCTTTAACTATTAGAAACCATATTCTCCACAATTGTAATTTGTGGGTTTTTTTTTTTTGGAAAATACAATAAGTTGAACTATTCAGCTGGCGTGTGCTGACATAAAGACTAGCTTACTGTAGTTCAGAGGTATCAAATTCGTTTTGCAGTGTGCCTCAATTTGATCTCAAGTTGGTTGGACCAGTAAAACTATTGAGAAACCTCTTAATTGTTAATTGCCTTATGTCTCAGTTTTTACACCTTAGCAGTTAAAAGGCTTACAGGGTATTGCTGTTACCCTACTCTGAGCGTGGACAGGCTAAAATTTGTTTTTTTTCCCAAAGCCATACAGTGGGCTTGATGTTTGACACCCCTGTTGTAGCTTAATAAATATTAAAAGATTAGATGATTTTTAAAGGACAATTTACAAATTCAGATAATCATTTCAATGAATTTAACTGAACTACTTCCTCGTTTGTCCTCTTTGCTCTTCTATTAATATGCAATCTTTCCTCAAAGAGTCAGTTCCCTACAAAATTTAGTTTATCTGTTCTGTAAAAATGATTTACTTTCAGCATAGTGGGACTTTTGTTTGTTGGCCATGGCTTCATGGCGTGCGTTACATTTGCATTTTCTTATCTAAAAATTCCAGCTGGCTTCATTATCAGAAACCTCAGTGACAGCCGACAATCCTGCAGTGCACTGGTGAAACCTGAAGACATTTTTAATGGATTGCACCGGAGATTTCTCTGCCTGTCTCCATTATGTAAAATAAAATGTTCATTAAAACAATATGATCTACTTATTAGTGGATAAGCAGTCCGTGCATGTTATGATTGTACCTCAGGTATTTTTTTTTGGGGAAGAAATGGGTACTCTCACTTGTTCTTTTTGTTTTTTTACAGTCACGTGTGTAACTTAGCTCACAGTGTTGTCACATAAAAGTGTTGTTGATGAAATGCAAACTTTACTGTGTGAATCTTCAGAGGGGTATCTCCATCCTCAGTCTGCTATACAGGGATAATCCCGAATGATCCAGGTGGAGTCAGTAGACAGAACATTTTCTAAACACTCTCCGCGGGCTTTCTACAGAGGAAGCAGATTTAAGTCCGATTTTTTTGGGCATGTTTATAATCATCTGAAATACACGTTCCCTCATCAGCCTTGGCAATGTACACTCTCAGCTTCCACCCTGGGAAAAGAGATGCTTACATCCATCTGCTCCACCAGAATTATTTTTCTTTTTCAACAGCAAAATGTTTTTAAAAAAGTTAATCTGACTCACAGTTAAGTGCTAGTAAATCCTGACTCTCCCCATTTCTTATGCTCTTGCCACAAACAAACTCATTATGGATATGTCTTGACCTGTTTGTGTGTGTGTGTTGACTTATGGCTCTGATCTAATCTAAAATCGGGGTTGTGGACTAGCTGGCTGAGTTATTAAACCAGACTACGCACCATATTAATCTTCCCCTACATGCAGTTGTTTTGAGAGGTAGTGCTGTCAGGCTGTGCCTTTATCAGAAGAGAGCCGCTCCCATGTCACAAATGCATTTTAAAGACAGATTTCTAATGCATGGGATGCAAATGAATGCAAGCTGATGCTGCAAGAGGCTGAAAGGCACATTTGATCAATGCAGTCAAACTAGCTGGATGTTTGTTTACATTTTACTACAGTCTACAGTTGAGGCTATACTTCCTCAAAATTATAGTTGTATTTTAGAACTGTATTCTCTAATATAATATATGTATTTACATTTACAATAATCACAGACATATGTTAAACTGTGATCATGCATAAATTAGGAAATACAAAGGTTTTCTGCAAATTTCAAAGTTTCAAAGTTCTAAGGTTTTACATATCAGGATATAATAGTCATTAAGTAAATAGTCTTAAAATTGAGTAAATACAACCTCAGATGAACAACAACACATGACAGATTACACTAAGACAAACTACAGAAGCAGTTTACAAAAAACTAAATGCATCCTATGATTCAGTTGCTTTAGCAGCAACAACTTCAGTTTCTAATACTGTTGATGAGGAATTTTATTCCACTACCCTTTACAAACATTGAGGTTTGCTGGCATTTGTTTACGTACAGCTCTCTCAACAGTCAACTACAGCAGCGGTCCCCAACCCCCGGGCCCGGTACTGGGCCGCGAGAGTTGAGACTTGGGTGTGAAATGTATGGTTTTCAGGGCTTTTAGCGGTTTTTAGCGTTATTTTGTTATCGTTTTTTTCGTTAACTTGGTTTTCCTGGGTTTTTTCACGTGTGTTATGAATAAATCTTCTTTTTTTCGGTACCGGTACTAGTTATATGTTCTTGTATTTTTCTGCGACATCTTAAAGGCCGGTCTGTGAAAATATTGTCGGCGCAAAAAAGGTTGGGGACCGCTGAACTACAGTATTTCAGTTGAGCTGAGGTCTGGGCTTTGACTGGATCATGGAAACACCTTCGTCCTGTTCTTTTTAAGCTGCTCTGTTGTAGATTTTCTGCTGTGCTTGGAATCTGTTGAATTTCTAGTTTCAGCCAAGCTTTAACTCAGTGATTGCAAAGTCCCCAGATCCCTCGTCTGCAAAACGAACCCAAATCAACACTCCCCTGCCACCGTGCTGGTATGAGGGTTTTTTGCTGATATTCTGTGTTTGGGTTTCTCTCTATGACGCTGTGCATTATGGCTAAACATCTTCACTTTGGTTTGATCAGTCCAAAGGACATTTTTTCAAGAAATCTTGTGTCCTTTGCTCAGATGCAGCTTTGCAAACCTAAGCTGTCCTGGCATGCTATTTTTAGAGACAAGTTCAGTCTTTTTTCTAATTTTACTGTCATGAGCATTAACTTTTAACAAGTTACATGAGGCCTGTAGAAACTGAGATGTAGCTCTTGGGATTTTTGCATATTCTGTGAGCATTGCACGATCCACTGGGGGGAAGATTCCTGGGACACCTGAATGCTCCACATCAATGAAGAGGCAAAACGTCTGCTTGTATAGCGGTGTTCATATTTGCTGATGATCAATTAATTAAGTGCATTTGTTTATCCCGACATGGCTGTTAGTCTCCCTCTTAGTTTTTCACAAACTGCTCCTAAATCTTGGGTTAATTTGTGTTAGATAAATAAGGCCACAGTGAAAAATGTTGTGTCCTGTAATTCATCTGAGGTTGTATTTACAGAATTTTAAAACCTGATAAGGAAGAGATGATTCGTATTATGCGACTGTCCTACTTTCACCAAATTATGCTTCTAAGGAAGATTTTGGTAATTTAGCTTCTAACAAAGAAACACATTAATAAATTAATAATTTTATGTAATAGCTGCTGCTTTTCCTAGGCTGTTTATTCGCTGTTATTATGCAAACTGTCTCAGTGTGATTAGCATCGTTTATTGACACCTTTAATTGTGTAGGCTGCTAAAGTGGGGGGTTTTGCTATCACTGTGATTATGAGAAAGAAGTTTTCCCTGCTTGCAGTGTTTTAACATCACGTCATTGTTTTGATTCTGCAGCCCACAAGTTCACTTTTTTCATTTGACTCTTACCACTCTCGTTAGGTTTTTTTAAATGAGAAAAAAAACTCATAGTAAGTACTGCACAAAGGTAGAGACAAACAGACATCATTCGTGACCAGCAAGCGCAACACTTAGCACTTGATTGTATATAGGACACTGTTAGGACACAGCTTATCCACCTTAGTAGAAATTACTGAAAAAAACTCCATTACTTGAAAGAAGAATTATGAATATTTATAGAATATAAGAGTAAACAATTGTGAAATTGTTCCTTATCAATCTAATAATGAGGAGTTACCATTGTGACTTACAGAAGAGGAATATAGTGAAATATGATATGCAGAGAAATTGGTGGAGTGGATGAAACGGAGTGTTGCAGAGCAGCAGTGACACTGACATCACACAGGGAGAGAGAGACAATTTTCGGCTTAAAAAGCTGAAAAAATTGGGAGGGTGTGTTTGGTTTTTGACATGCAGAGAGCGAGGCTTGTTAAATATGCATAAAACGGTGCAGTTGCATCTGTGTGAAGTGCCTTGCAGGCTTTGGGTTATTAGTTTGCAGCTCTCCTTAGTAAACTAAATATTGTTTGATGGGGGGGCAAATATGGTTTTAACACAATCGCTGCAGTCGTTACAAATGACGACACAAATGGGGAGGGTGAAATACAGATCTGCACGGCCACTGCATGAAGAGCACATTTATTTATTTATTTTGCACATGGTATGAAAAGCCCGACAGACAGATGAAATGACTGTTACCCGAGAAGCAGTGAATAAGAATAACAGAACACTAGTATATCTGTGACCCCGGTAGGTCGTCGTCTTGTTTTTCCGAGGTGATTCATATAAGGAAGTGTCCTGATGAGGTTATGTTCTCCTAATGGACTGCTTGTAACTAGAGTGTGAAGAAACGATGACTGCGTTCGCTGCAGTTTCACGACAGCTCATAGCAGGACGGTCATTCTAGAAGATGAGATGCGCTCTAACTTTCTGCTTGCTGTTTCTACTTCTGAACTGTCTACTCTTGAAACCTGGGGGGAGTTATCTCTTCACTGTTTGATCACTTCTCTTAGATCACTGGAGGCATTTTCATTTCTGCTTTCATCCTGCTTGTTTCTAACATTGTGCTGCTCAGGTCATGTCTTCGCTCTGCTCTGCAACAAATTTAAATCTACCATTTCAGGTACTGCTCTGCAATCACATCCCCTTGTCTCTTTTTCCAGGAACTCCAAAAAGGAGCTGAATGACATCCGGTTTGAATTTACTCCTGGGCGAGGTAAGAGCTCAGCCTCAATTAATTAGGAATATGCTGTTCCCTATGTGATAATATCACCACATTAGATGACTGAATTGTTCTCTGTATAATGGGTAATGGCACTGGGCTCTGGACAGCATCTGATTCAGTCTCTAACACAATCACCTGCTAAGTGGCATGTATGAGGTCCAATATTTGTCATGTTATTCTCTCACAAGACACTGCTGATGGGGTTTCCCAGGAACTGTTCTCAGCTGGACTGGTCAATGGGCACGACGTTGTTATTGGTAATGCTGTGCCTCTTTATTCTCATAAATTGTGCTGTTTGAATACATAGCCTGCTTACTGGAAAACATCATCTTGAAATAATTTGTTAATAGAAAACGTATTACCAGGATGAATTACATTTAAATTGGATCTTGGAATAACTAAAACTGGTTTTCTAGTCTTCATATTTACACTAGACTGCTCTTTCATTGTGGGAGCAGGAGCTTGTCCTAAAATTTCCTCAGTATAAAACGTGTTTGTTATTACTGAACACAATTATTTCCTCTATTACAGTTGCTGCTAACCTTCAAAAGATTGTAGATGACCCAATTACCTACAAAGTACTGACCTTTAAGCTGGTGAGTTTCCACATGATTGATGGTTTATGACAGCTGCCCTGGCTTTGTCTTGGCTTGTGATGTCCAGCCATAAAGAGCTTGCTGGGAAAAGCTTTAGCGAGAACTGGAGTTATTAGACATAAACTCTGCGTAAAACTAAAAGATGTTCAGTTGATGATGTTAAGAAATTATTTTAGAAGAAGTGAAGGAGAAGGTTAGAGGGTTGATGTTACAGAAGACATTAAAATTATGTACCCTTTTTCTCTAAATCTGGACTTGAAATGTTTGGATATTTTGTTATAGGGATAAAGTTCATTCAGGCTAAATATAACATACATTTTCACATTTATTTTACACTCTGCACACTTTGTTAGCTACACCATGCTAGTTCTGTGCTGGCTCCAGTTTCTTTTCTTCATATCGACATGATGGCATCACATAGTTGATTCATTTTTTTCTGCTGCAAATCCACGATAGGACTCTCCCGTTCCACCACATCCCAACGGTGCTGTAGTGGATTCAAATCTGGTGACTATTTGAGGCCATTTGAGTACAGTGAGCTCATTGTCATGTCAAGAAACCAATTTGAAATCATTTGAACTTTGTGGCATGGTGTATGATCCTGCTGGAAGCAGCCATCAGAAGGTGGTCATAAAGACGTGGTCAGAAACAATAGTAAGGCTGTGGCGTTTAAACGACACTCAGTCGGTACTAACGGGCTCATGAAAATATCGCCCACACCAATATATCACCACCAACCTGAACTCTTGATAGAAGGATTGGTCTTTGCTTTTATATCGTTCACACCAAATTCTCACCCTACCATCTGAAAGTTGCAACAGAAATTGAGGCCATTCTTTAGTCTTCTTTTCTATTATGCAATTTTAACTAACATGAGTGACACCAAGGCGTGCTCTCTTGCTACTATAGCACCTCTTCTTTGAGGTCGGACATGTTCAGAGGTGCTCTTTTTACATACCTTGGTTGTGGTGGTTATTTGAGTTACTGTTGCCTTCCTGTCAGCTTGAAGCAGTCTGGCCATTCTTCTCTGAACCATCAACAAGACAGAGAATTGCCGCTCACTGGATATTTTCTCTTTTCTTTGGCTCATTCTCTGTAAATCCTGGAAAAGGTTGTGCAGGGAAATCTGAGTAGATCTGCAGTTTCTGAAATACCGATAAGCTTACCATCTGCAAAGTCACTTAAATTGCCTTTCTCTTCTGATTCTGATGCTCAGATTGAATATCAGCAGGTCATCTTGACCATTTAGGCTTACATGCATCAGTGTAAGTAGATTTAATTGCTGCCAAGTGATTGACTGTTTGAATTACTGAGCAGCACTGAGCATGTATATGTACTGGATTGTGCAATGGGCAATATATAGCATTATAGCAACGTCATTGTAAAACAAAATATACGATGTATTAAAAACAAACATTCAAATGCAAATAAAAACAGCCTTAACAGATCAATAGTCAATGTTTATCAGTTCAACTTTAATAATATAACTACATTAGGTTTTGTTTTATTATCTCAATTGTGACAAAAATCCAATACAGCATTGATTTTATTTTGTGATGTATTGTTACCGTTGTGTAACGAATCCACGTTAATGAATTCTTAATGAGGAAAATACGACCTCCACATCTTCTCTTTTGTGGTTACTATAAAATTTTGTATCGTCTGTATTGTCTGTGGAGAGGAGTGTCATGATTTGAGTAGTCAAACACAATTTGTTTTTATCAGAATTATTTTTTATTTGTGCGCTTCCCATTGTGGATTATTGTGAGTCTTTAGGTGATTTTATTTTCTTTGACGACGGTGCATCTTTGTTGCGCCATCTGAATACACCATATGTGCTTTTAAGAAGTCCCTTTGTGCAGTGTGACATATTAGAATGTGATATTAAGAAAGGAAATAATGCCAGTTTCTTTGTATTTGACAAAAAAATATGTAAATTATGTTTTATTGACCTTTGTGTAGTTGTGGGTAAACAACATCTGTGCTTTGGGTTGCAGTATTTTACAGTGTGACCTTTCTGCCATTTGCCTTATCAGCAGGTGGACAAATCTCTGGAGAGCCAGAGTGAGGGTTGTACTGGGCATGCCATGTAGATATATGGGCATGCTTTCATTTCCACGTGTTAACTCTGCACCTCTGCAGGCAGTGCTAAATTCTCACTGCAGCTCAACTCCGCCTTTCTGAACGAATTACGAGTTACGAGGGTGGTGTCACAAAACCCAGAGAGTGAGAATAATTACCCCTGCAAGGGGAACAATTCATAACACTTTATGCAGACAATTTATGGTGTGGGTGGCACTATAGCTGCTTTATGACTGAACTGAACAAGAGATCAGAATAGACTCATGAGCTCACAAAAACGGACTGTTTTAATAACAGTGCCTCCATGGTGATTACACAACTGCAGAGCCCGAGAGTGTATGGGTGGTTTTCTCAGATAAGGTGCAAATTGGTGAAGGACATTGGATGTTGGGTCACGAGGTTAAGCTTTTCACGAGGATGGCTGGTTCAAAAAAAGGAAAATGTATTTTCTCTGAGCAGTGACACAAATTAACATGCAGAATGAATTCAAATATTGCTTCAGTAAAGGGGATCTGTGCAGCCTAAAACAGAGGTGAGACAAGCTGCTGCAAGTTAAAGAAATATGGTGAATTATTGGAGGATGGTGTTTTGTGTAATCATTGTTTTTCAGAAAGGTACAATGGGTTGCCAGGGGTTTGAGCCCATTTTCCCACCTCAGCTTTAATGAGGTCGGCTCTGATGTCGGTTGTCTCGCTTCCAATCAAGCTCACAAATGATCTCAGAAGTTGTGCATGGCCAGTGGAGGTCAGTCAGGGTTTTTTATGCTAGATTCTAAAACTATATATATGTTTACTGGCCTCAGGAGCACTGTTGTGTAGCAGCACGAAAGAGCCTTCCACAGACTAACACATAATTTTATTCTCTGCAGCTTTGAGACTTACCTTAATTGGACAAACGAAACGAAACCATGAAGCACACAACGCACCAGATGATATGTAAATAACAGAGTCCACATCACTGATATAGTTTACTCCAGCTACACAAACTGCTTAGCAGTACTGCTTTAATCTGATATCATGCAGCAGCCACAGCAATGATAATAACTGATAGACTATTGTTTTTACAGCAGCTATTTTTGCACAAAATAGTGGGTAAACACATGTTATTAAAGAGAGCAATACTTGTGTGCCATTAGGTAGAAAACTTTAATTAATGGGATTAACAACATCTTTGTTAACCTAACATTTCATATCGTAATGTTCCTGTAAAAAACAAGGACTATTAGGAATTGGACTAGCTTATATTTCTTGTTCACTCTTATAATTATAACCAACCATTTGCACAAGCCAGTAATTCTAATAAGATTTCTTTATGACTGCTGATACAAGCAGTGAGAAAATTCTGCTGTATCAGGTGTTTTCTGTAAGTTCGTGAAACTTTAAAATTTCTGTGTTATGGAAGAAAACTTTATATTTCATTGCTAAGCATTGTCAGGTGTTAGTTTTTATATATAGTTGGTAGGAATTTTAATAGAGTAGCTCAGGAGCCTGCCTCCTGAGTAGAAAATGTCAATGTTGGTGACTTAGCTGCTTAGAACTTGAATTATTAGAGAAAAGCCCACACTAGTGAATGACTAATGGTAACTTTGCTAACCTACAATGTTAGCAACCGTCTCTTCTCAGTCATTTGCAGTCACCTCCATTTTAGGCTGCACAGATGTCCTTGACTGAAGCATTACTTTAATATATTTTGCATAGTAATTTGTATCACTGCTCAGAGAAAATGAATCAGCCATCCTCATGGAGAGCTTAAACTGGTGACCCAACACCCGATGGGCTCCACCAATTTGCACCTTATCTGGCAAAGCCACCCATACACTCTCTGAGGGCTCTGCAGTTGTGTAATCACCATGGAGGCACAGTTATTAATACAGTCAGTCGTTGTGAGTTCATGAGTCTATTCTTATCTCTTGTTCAGTTCAGTCATAAAGTTGCTTTAATGCCACCCACACCATAAATCATCTGCATAAATTTTGACTCTTTGGTACAGAGGTCGAATCAATGATTGGCTGCAAAATGAACCCAAATTATCACCCCTCCTCCGCGGTGCTTGACTGTTGGTATGAGGTGTTTGTGCTGATGTACTCGCCAAACGTGGGGTCGTCCATTATGGCCAATCTTCTCTCTCTCGTCTCATCTGTCCAAACAACGTTGTTCCAAAGTCTAGCGGTTTGTTCAGATGTGCAAACCTAAACTGTGCTGCCATGTTCTTTTTAGAGAGAAGGGGCTTTTCCCCTTACAACCCTTCCAAAGAGGCCATGCTTGTTCAGTGTTTTTCTAATTTTGCTATCATGAAGTTTAACATTTAACATGCTGACTGTAGTCTGTTGAGGTGAGATGTAGTTCATGGGTTTTTTTTGCAGTTTCTCTGAGCATTGCTGACCTTGGGGTGAGTTTTCTGGGACATAAAAATCTTTCTCACTGTAGAATGATGGGCTTCAAATTGCTTTGAAATGGCCTTATAATCACTCCTAGATTAATGGGTAGGCACACTTGCTTCCCTAAGACCATTGCTGATATCTTTCCTCCTTGGCATTGTGTTAATGCACACCTGAACGTTTCAGACCTGCAAACTGAAGCTCTATTTATCAAGTAAATTTGATTAACAGCCCCTGGCTTCTACTTACCCTCTTAGTTCCTATGGAAGCAGTGTGGGTGTCCTTAGTTTTTGCATCGCGCTCTGTGAAAAAATTATTTTCCACATGACTGCATGCTATGTGGACAAAAAATAATTAAGAAGCTGACGAGTTCTTAATAATAACCATTACTACCAGTTTAAAACGTAGCTTGTATCCAGTGAGGGAAATTATGTTATTTTTTTTCTCATTTTGAAAATGAGTCTCAGATTTGGTTCCATATTTAACTCAGTTTCAGTAGTTTCAGCTCCCTGCTTCTGTTGATGATCCTCTGACTGTCTTCTTTCCCATGCAGGCTTCCAGCTGCGATGACACGGAGATCCCTGATGAAGTGAAGTTGATCGGCTTTGCGCAGCTCAGTGTTAGTTGATGCTCTCTTCGTGACTGCAGCAGGTGAGACAGGGAAGACAGTTCAGGGCAGACAGACTGAGGAACACTCCACCACTTCCTGCAATATCTTCCCTTCCTCACTTCCTGACTCCGCCTCAGCTTCCCCGATGCCCATCTCTTCCACCACCCTCGTTAGCGCCGGCTTCCCTGCTTACTGTCCTATCTTTAAACTTAACGACATTCCACTGCCCAGCGCACAGCCGAGGAACCTGAAGGTGTACTCAGGTGGCAAAAGAAGGTGATTAAGATGTAGCTTTGAATGTTCTATTTATTTATTTCTTGAACTCGTTTTTGTTTTACATCATATTACCTCTGTGTTCAGCAAAGCTCTCATTATTTATTGAAATGAGAAGGGTTTTTTCTTCCCATGCTGATTTGTTGCCACAGTGAAAACAAATTTGCTTTGACTCACATCTCACAAACGCACTCATTCGAGAAGTTTCCCTGAGGTCTGTGTCAGAATGTACGAATACGTTAATTTATGGGAAAAAGCACATTTTCATAAGAACATAATGAATGTCAAAAGAGAATGAATTGTATTTCCATATTAAGACCTGTTTCACATTAACAACCATTTGCTTGAGTGTGCAGGGAAAAAAAAGGAGACCTGGATGCTACTGTGTATAATTTGCTGCTCTCAACAGTGTTAATGCTTCAAAATGCTAGAGGTGCCTTGTTCATTTTTCTGTGCCTAAGAAAGTAGTCGATAAATGAGACCGCACAAAGAGGGGGAACCTGCTGATTGCCATTCCACCAGTGTATTATTTCAGCAATGACACAATTCAAGTGAAGTATCTTAACTTAATGAGGCAAGCTAAAATGCACTTTTGGGCTGAATGCGTGGACCTGACAAACAGATGCTTAGCCCCGGGAGACAAGTTAATTTATGTGCTTCTGTCGTCAGACGAACACACCGTAACAGGACCTGCAGTCATATAATCTGTTCTTGTTGATGGGTTTTCAGATGCTAATCAGCAAAACACAATGGTTGAATTTCCTTGCTCTGTCCTGCTGCACTACAAAACTTTTTCGTTCCCCGAAACATCATAGTTACTAAAATGTACTGGATGACGATGCATCTGAAGATGAAACCAAACGGCAACTGCCGAAAAGGTGACGAGCCATTTGTTTGTCCAAACAAGTCCAGTAGCTCTAAATTATTTTTTAGGTATTGAGGTGGTCAATATTAACTTCTACTAAATTCTTTATTTTATGAAGTAATTTATTGTGTTTTCTATGTACAGTTCTGTGTACCATTTCAACATATTACCCCTGTTCCTTCTGTAATCAGCTGATGTCAAGTTTCGGATTAAGAGCAACCAATAAAGAATTGCTATGATTTAAAAACAAGTGTGTGAAGTATTTTATTTAAAAAAAAAAAATCTGTCAGCTGCTATTAGAATGAACCTCCTACACTTCAATCGATGTTTGTTTGTGATTGCAAAGGAGTTGAATAACTTACCATATTTCTGCAAATATGCTTTTTAAACTACAAGTCTGAATTCATAAATATAAAATGCACAGTTTTACATTTTAATACACAAAAAGTATAAGTTACTGTGGCATAATGTGGTACGGTATGACCAGTTGTTTATTTCTGTTAATGTTACAAACCTATACTACAGAATATCTGACATCATATAGTGATCTGTCTGGTTTTCTAGCTAAATAATAAATAAAAAAAAAACCTTAATGTAGACATGTTAAAAACAGTTCTTGCATACACATAAATTACACACTCACAGGCCACTTTGTTAGGTAGACCTATTCAACTTCTCACTCAAACATCTAATCAGTCAGTTGCATGTCAGCAGCAGTTATGAGCATCAGAATGTGAATTTATAAGTGACTTTGAACATGGCATGGTTGTTAGTACCAGATGAGATGGCCCGAGTATTTCAGAAACTGCTGATCTACTGGGATTGTTCTTGCACAACCATCTCTAGGGCTTAGAGAGCACAGTCTCAAAAAGAGAAAATATCCAGTGAGCTGCAGTTTTCTGGATAAAAATGCCTTAATAACCAGAAGAGAGTGGCAAAACTGCTTTAAGCTAAAAGAACGGCAACAGTAAGTCAAATAACCGCTGGTTAAAACCAAGGTACGGAGAGGAGCGTCTCTTAATGTTGGACTTTGAATCAGATGGACTAAATCAGCAGAAGACTATATTGTGTGACGTTAATGGATCCAGTAAGTCTCAATTTCTGCTACAACATTTGCCGGCCCTTTAGTACCAGCTATGCTATTTCCTGACCATGTCCATCTCTTTATGACCACAATGCACAAAGCTTGTATCATATCAAACTGATTTGTTGAACATGACAATTCACTTTACTGAAATGGCCCCCAAAGTCACCAGATCTCAGTCAAATAGAGCACCTTTGAGATGTGGTGAAATGGGAGATTCACATCGTGGATGTGCCACTGAATATTCTGCATCAACTGTGTGATGCTATGATGTTATTATGGACCAAAATCTCTGAGGAATGTTTTCAGCATCTTGTTGAATCTGAGCCACAAAAAATTTAAAGCAGTTCTGAAGACAAAAGGCGGTACTAGCAAGTGTGCCGTGGGTGTATGGATTCCAGGCTTGTTCTTTAGATATTAGCTTTGGTGAGAGCTTTGGTATAGACTAGACCTGTAACTGGTTAGAATAAGGAAGGTTTTTTTCCCCTGCTATTTAAAAAAAAATACATTTTTAAATCCCAACTTTGCTTACATTGAGAGAAGGTTGGGCTGAAGATTGAAAGAGGAAGGGGTATAGACTATGATGTAACCTACCCACTCTTTTTATTTTCTTTTTCACTCTCTTTCCTCTTTTTATACAAGTCTAGTAAATAATTGAAATAAAAAAAGCAAACTGCCCTCCACAATACAAAATCTCTAAACAAAAACCCCCCCACAAAAAAAGCCAATAAAGCTGCAACCCTTCACCACCCGCCAACTGATGAAACTGGAAGAAGGCACTGAGTAAAAGCAGTATTATAACTTTAATTATTCAAGTATTTGTTTTTTAATATAAAAAACATACAATATATAACAACAACCCCTTATGGGATAGATGGTTTCACAGTAAATGCCACATTAGCTTATAATACTACAAAACCTTTGAAAGAAAAATAAAAGGAAAAGGAAATTTGGCTGTGAACGCCACGTTGTTCAAGAGACAATGTTCTCGATGATGTCAGAAGCAGTTCTTTCATAATTACTGATACGCCAGATACATATGATAATTCATCAAGTCGGTAATGGTCTTAGTTACAATTAAACTGACACTTGTACGACATGATGCTGCATTTCTCTTGATGTGTGGAAGAGGCTGATGAGCCGAAATAGCTGATGATATACAGCGTACATAACCAAGAGCAGCAGCTGCAGTAATGAGAAGCTGATAGCTGAAACACATAATTACCTCAAGAGTGAAAATGTCAGAGTGAGAAAACAACAAAATGCATCTAAAAACTGAAATATACAAACAGCTTTCTCAGAGAAAAAGGTGGTGAAATGAGGACAAAATGTAAACAAAAACATCAGGAAAATTCGAGAAAAAAGACTGATTAACTGTGCGGGCTGATTAAAACCCAAACATTTGGCCTTATAAATTGTTTTCATGCCAAATTATCCTTTCAGCTTCTGTTAGATGATTGATAATTGACTGCAGCCTGTTTTCAGCTTTGTATGATTTAAGAGTGAGAGCACAGCATGCGACCTGGTTTCGCTTTTTTTCTAATTAGAGTTACATTTGCATTCTTATTGTAAAAGAACTCTTCTCTCAATTCTAAGAAACATTTTTGAAGTGCATCATACAGGGATCTAATCTATGGTAAGTAGATACTTTATTGATTTCCACATTTTTTTTCTTTTGGCTTGCAATCTTAGAGAAGGTCAGGCTTGCTCGGTCAGCAGCTGGTAGAAATTCAGTGTCATGCTCAAGGACACTTTAGCATAGAAAATGTTGCTGACTCAAACTGTTAGGCCACACTAATTAATGCTTAACGCTGATTGACTTAATGCCTTTAAAGAATAGTCTACATAAATTGGACCTGGAGTATATGAACAAATTACTTTCACTAACAACACCCCATTTTAATTATGCATGAGAATACACACTTTACAAGCCTCGTGCATTCATTAACAATCATGAGGTGAGATATAGACGTAGATGGATGTTAATGGAAACGTCTGTCTTAAATAGACTCGCAGCAGCCCTCTCGGTGTTTACATCATTCGGTGATAATACTTTAAATGGTGAAAAAGGCAAAGAAAAGGGGAAAAATAACGTTTTTTGTTTTGTTTTGTAAGTGTCTCTCGTGTCCCCTAACATCTCAAGTGTTTCTTGCTGGACATGTCATTCCAAATACGGTGCATCTCCTCCGGGGAGATCTGGTGGACGGTGATAACCCGCCTGTATCTGCAGAGGCTGTAAGCCATTTTCCAGTGATTAAAACCACTGTTCTGATAAGGGTGTATGCCCAGCTTTCGCAAACACAGTCCCACATAGACATCCTCCAGGTGCAACAGTCTTGTGTGTAATGAAGTCTTGTAGATTAGCTCAGCTACATCTGCTGAGAACACGTAGCCGGTGCCCGAGCAGAAAGGTGGGTATTTGCTTTCAGGATACAAGTCTCTGGGCATGTACCACTTGCTACGCATATCTCTAATGGGACCACCGTTTATTACGTAGCCAGTGAAATATCTCCTCCTTGGTTTGGTGTTGGGTTTCAGGAGCTTGTAGATTAGATTGTCCATGTTGACAAAGATGTCACTGTCTGTCTTCATGACATACTGTGCTTTGGGGCAGAAAGTCGCCACCCAGCGCATTCCCATCATGGTCTTGAGGGTTAGATTGTGGTAGGAATCGATAAAGTCCTCCACCACGATGTCATGGAAGATTTGACTCTCCTGTTCCACCATCTGGTTCAGCACAGGGTCCGTGTTCCTGCCCAGCAGAAAGATCGTAAGGATGCGGACGTCGCCGAAGGTCGACTCATCGCCCCAGGTCTCTCTGATGGCCTGCCTCGCATCAAACTCTTTGTGGGTGGTGCTGATGAGAATGACCAGAAAGGGCGTGACGCTTTCGCATTTCTTGGGCTCATTGATGACAAACTCAAAGGCGTGTGGGTTAAGGGGGCGGGTGCGGATGTTGTTGAAGGTGATGTTTTTATGAGGTTTCACAGTCTTCCGTATAGGCACTGACATGTGGCCAACGTACGTGGACGTCGGGCGAGTTATGCTCAAGTACCACAGAGCGCTCGCCCAGCAGACCACTGTCAACAGGTATAAACATGACACTTTGGAAGGCATTATGCTGCATTTAGGTGTGTTTTAATGAGTGGGATCTCATAAGGCTTTCTTTCCATTAGTGACGTTTCACCTGGCGAGGCAGCATTAAGCTGCTCCAGCATGCGGTTTGACATTAATGGTCAGTAATGGATTACTTCAGACAGAAAGGATCTTTTTTGGATTTTAAAGCACTTTAAAACTGTTTGGACGTCCGCCTCCCTCTTTGTGACACTGCTGCTTCTCCATTTACATCTGAAAGAGAGCGAGAGAAAGAAAACATGAGTATAAAAAAAAAAGCATGTGTCCCTGAAAATCTTTAAATGAAGTTTGTTTCAATCAGCTGAACTCAGTAGAAGCATTTCCCACAGCGCAGACTTAGTTATCAAGAACAATTCAAATAAATGAGGAAATGCTGCTGAGCCGCTCAAAATCACTCACTAGATGATTTCTAATTTGTATCTTTGTAAATCAAGTTGGAGGACGAAAGAAAAGTACTTGGATGAACTCAATATCTAATAAAATAATATCACCGCAGCAAATATGTGGGATAAATTGCGAATCATCTGCCGTCTGGAAAAAGCAAATCATTGTCAGGCACGTTTATTTTCTGCATTGTTAAAACTCACTTATTATTCAGTGGGAACCCACATGAGTGTGAGGGTTTTGTGAATGCTGGGTATCAGGCTTGGTATAGATCGGGTGAAATGTTGTGATTGTGTGATCACGACTGTCACATTTTGAATTTCATGTATATTTGTTTAGCACATTAGTAAAAGTGTTCAGATCTCTTTTATTACTTCGGGCAAATGTAAGTATTACTGATCAAGTACGACCTTAAAACCACAGGCAGATGAACTGAATAACACTTTGTCACAATGCAGTGCTCTGCTGGGAAACCTTGGGACCTGGCAGTCATTATGTAGGTGTTTCTTTAATACTCAGCATCCACTTAAAAATGTGGATGCTGAGTATCCACATTTGTTGGATACTCAAAATGTTGCAGACTAAGCTCCAGGGCAGCAACTTTCCCCAGGAGGACAATGCACCCAC